ATCTTGGAGGACCAGATTGAGACATCTCTGAAGGTAACAAGAAGGTCTAAGCGGTTAGAACAAGTAACACCTAGCTATAAGCATACCCTCGAGGAAGAACAGTGTAAGGACTCAGACGACACAGAGACAGTACTAAACTACAAGTACGTATCAGTAGGTCCGAGGAGGAAAGGTGAGGGGTCGATACCAAAGAAACGAACCGAATACGAAGAAGCAATGGCGAAATGCGAAGATGATATGTTTGAGGTAGATAGGTGGATAGGAACTCTGAGTAATGCAATGAAGAGTGCAGAGGAAGTCATGAATGGAGAGATAGGATTGGAAGAGATAGGAACCATGTTCTACAGATGCATCAAGCAGTTTTATGGTCAAGATATGGCTGAAATAGTGAGACATGACTACCAAAAGGCTTTGCATGTGATCATACCTCGGTTGAAGCAGAAGCTGGATGAGGCCAAGCTTGTTCGAAAAACATGGGAACCTCTCTGGAAGCAAGTCTTTGAAGAAAACACTGTGAAGCAAATAGATTCTACTGCACAAGGACGCAAGAAAAAGTGAAGGAAAGCAACAAGTTCTGAATCAGTTTTTTTTTACGGCAGGAAATGTAGAAAAAGGTTAATTTCATATGGAACTATAGATAGTACTAAGAAAGTTTAGTAAATCCAGGTCAAAGCTTTCAACCCAAATCTCTATCTCACTGTATATGTATTACACCATTAGCAGGTAATATTCAGAGTATTGTTGATCCAAGACCCTGAGATTTTATATTCATGAGTACCAAAATTGTGAATCAAACAACATTGTGTGTAACTTATCTCCGACACAAAGCATATGATTGATGTTTGTGGGAGGATAGTTTTGAACTAGTTTGAGGTCTGAATGTGAAATTTCTAACAAGCAGATGCCTTTGAAGTAGACTATCCTTTAATTCCATGTTAAGTTCCTAGGTTAGCACATAAATTCATTCTTGAGTGGGTTAAATTTATAAGACAAAAAAAAAGTAAACAAAGTTTAGGACTAGAATATATATATAGAAATTCGTTTATGTTATGTATAGATTAAGCAACAAGAATCAGAAAATCAAATTTGTTGAGCTAGCTAATTTTTCCCCACATGTATATATGTTTCATGTCTTATAGCATTGTAACAGAGACATGACATAATAGTTCTCAAGAAACAAGGGAGGATGGTCGCGTCATGCTAAGAAATCACATGGCCAAGTAAACAGTATAGCTTGGGATTTAGCATATAATATATCTTATATTCTTAATTTGTCACTCACTGATCCTGTATATTGAAACCTTTTATGGATCATAGGACTGAAATTTGGAAAATTGACCTCAATTGAATCTCGAAATCATCCTTTTTCACAGAGTAAACAATATTTTTTTTTTTATTTGCGAAAACAAAATATAGAAATTTCATGTTCTATACAGTTGTAAAATTTGTG